GCCGACGTGCCTAACATGCCGTAATGCACGGACCAATCCATAAATGTTCTCAGGTACCGGACCTAAATTTCAAAACAACGCTGCTCCCCTGCAGTGGGCACGTTTCTAACGCAATCCAGCGGCGGCGCAGCTGGTGTCATCCGCAGCGTCTTCAAGCGGTATTGGACGCATGACTCCCCATGATTGCAGCATCCGCTGGGTTCTCACGAAGCCGGGGCAAAACTGCAGAGTAATGGCACCAAACCCTCGCGCGCCGCGTGCCCGTCCCGCGTACGCTGACTCGGCTGTTTGTCACGAGACGTTGCCGGGCGCGGGTGGGCAGCCGCCAGGCGGCACGGCGTGGCGGGCCCTGCGCCGGCTAAACATGGCACCGCAGCCCGGTCAGGGGGCCCCGGGCTCCAAACATGGCACCGCAGCGCGGGATGGCGAGACAGGATGCAGACGCGTGGACCTGATGGCCCGATGGGACTGGTCTGTCATTATTTAAAAGACCTGATGACCCGAGGGGATTAGTCTGTCTTCAATATTCAAAAGGGTGGTGGGCGTAAGTATAAGGGTACTCATTCTTATGCCATGTAGCCTCCTCCATTCCTCGTCAGGCGTTTCCCTCCCTCCCCGCAAGCTCACCGGAGAGCGTCATTACAGATACCGTTTATCTATCGACGCCTGTCCTGCCGCCGTCACGGCATGGCGTCTTAAACTCTTAGTCGTGACGATGACGGTCAAACGCCGCCCGCCTCTACAGCCGCCCAGCCTCGTCCGCAGCCCCGCGGTCCGGCGCCGCCCGGGGCGCCGCAGCGTGCGCGCGCGCGCGCTGGCTCGCCGGCTTGCCACGGTCACCCTGCCGCACGCGGGGGACCTGGCCCGCCAGCCGGCGCGGCTCCGGTGCCCGGCCCGCCGGCTCGCCACGGTCACCCTGCCGCGCGCGGGGACCCGGTCCGCCAGCCGGCGCGGCTCCGGTGCCCGCCTCGCCGGCTTGCCACGGCCACCCTGCCGCGCTCAGGGACCCGACCCGCCCGCCGGCGCGGCTCCGGTGCCGCGGCGCCGAGCGGCGGCGCTGCGGGCGGCCGCGCCGGCGTGTGACGAGCTGCGGCGGGAGGCGCTGCGCCACTTGTCGACGGATCGAGCACAGTGGTCCGCGCGAGACGGAACTGACCAACGCGCTGATACACTTTCGCACGCGCGCCCGCTTACTGGAGGCGCTGGCCGTGAAACGGCGCCGGGCGGCGGCTCCACAAACAAGCCTGAGAACGCGGCTTACGGCTCCTTCGCGCGCGAGATGCTACGGGCCGGTGACTGCTGTGCGGTTGGCTTTGGCTAGCGGTGATGCATCTGGTTGCGATGGCCGAACTAGCGGTCGAAAACGGGCAATGCGCTGGTGAATAACCAGCGAGCCTCTAATCACACGCGAGTCCCTGTCACAGCAGTCGCAGAGGCTTGCGAAGTGCCACCCCGTGATTCGATAATAGAGGCTGGCTTTATGGTTAGAGAGCAGATTGATGGTTCTCAGCCTCTGTTGCTGCTTAACTGCACAAACTCTTAGCATCGTGTTCCGCCAGCTCTGCTTGCTTTGCCCGTGGGTGCGGTCAAATTAAAAAAGCACGAAAGGCCAAAGAATCGTGACTGTCACTCCATGACTGTCAAGCAGAAGGCTGGCTTATAGACGACCCCATCTGCTAAAAGTGCTCTGCCGGATATCTCTCTGCAGAAGTAGATTGATGAGTTCTACGTCATGGGCCGGCTCTGGGTGGCAACCAATGACGTCAGTAAACATAACCGGTGCCAGCACCTGAATTATTTACCCAAGCTGGTCTTTTCAAGATCGCTGTCGCCATGAAGCCCAATGTCATTTGCCGCGTTAGAGTGAGATATGTCAGTCACCGCAGCACGTGCCAGATCAGTCAGATGGGCTCCCCAACGGCTCGCCGCGAGCCATGCATTATGCATGGTGATGTCGCTGCGCAGAGTGGTGCAACGGACGCGAGCCACTGGTTTGAATGCTGCTGCTTTAATAGCATCCTCTTCCAGCCGGCATATCCTCCATGTCGGCAGGCGCTGATCGGCTCGAACCAGTTATACGAGGAGTTGGTTACAACAGGCAACTTAAGATTACATGTACGCCAGCTACTTGCCCGCATTTATCCTTGGAAATTAATCAATTTTGCTATCGATGCTTACATCGGGCTTATAAACACTCTCAGCAAATAGCTATACTGGAGTAAAGAAAGTATCTAACAGAATCTACAGAAGCTGAAATAACGGCTATTACGACAATGTCTTGCTGTTTCTGTTCATAGGAGCAGAGTTTTGTAAAATGTAACGATTTGTCACTGCGCAGTACATTCTCCCGCATTTCACGTAAGGTATTAAATTATGCCGGCCATCAAGCATGCTGGCCATGAGGCCTGCATGTATATAGTGTTTTGCTAGTAAGTACGGCGCCAACCGGAGCTTCAGATGCTGCGAGCCGGAGTTCCTCTGACGTTTGATGTCCCTGCCGCCCCGGGTCGGTGCACCTGAAGTGTCCCGCGTCTCCGGGGCAGCGGCACCGCCTAGCCGACGGGCCAGCGGCGCCCCCAGCCAGCGGGCAGGCGGCGCCGCCCAGCCAGCGGGTCAGCCCCGCTGTTGGAACGCTGACACACAGCCGGCCGGGGGGGGGGGGGGGAGGGGGAGGGAGAGGGCTCACACGGCCGGTGGTCACCACTGCGCGGTGTATATCTGGCGGGAGGCTGCCTATCAGGAGATCAGTGGGCACCTCGCCGCTGTGGCGCCCGCTCGAGCGGGGCGCGATGGTCGGAGCCGCGACGCGCCGTGCTTCGGGAGAGGCCGAGCCAACCAGCTGGACTCAGCGGGTTTGCCAACACGGCGGGTATTTTTCGCGAAGGTTGCAGAGTTTAGCCACCGGCTCCGGCATGGGAGCGTCTTGGAATCAGCTGATGTGACGTATGGCTGCGGCCCGGTTCGGTGTCGGAGATCTGCGTCAGCTGAATGACGGGTGAGTCATTCGCTCCCGCGGCCATGAGTCACAAACCAGATTACACGTACTCTAAGTGCGCTGAACGACTTTCCCTGATTCATCGGCGGAAACAGCACCATTGTGTTGGTCGTAAGAACTGGTGACACATCTCGAAGCCATGGAAGCGTAGCGCATTTTATTTCATCCGCGGGCAGGCGTGTCCCGACGATAGAAACACAGCCCCAGACGACTCGACTCCTGGTCAAATACAGTGCTGAGCTAGAGCTAGAGCTAGATACTAAGCTGAGCTAGAGCTGGAGCTCGATACTTAGCTCAGCGATTCGCTCTCGGGTCGGCCGCATGGCCGAACGGGCTCGCTTCGGGCGCCTGACAACAAAGCATCTGGCGTCGCCATAGCAACAGGCTCGCAGCGGTGCATCAGAAGGTCAGCAGGAGGCTACGTGCCGAACGAAAAGATGGCCGCATAAGATGCATGCACTGGGCTGCCAATACATGTTACGTGTGCAGCTGCGTGACATGATTTACATCCATGCGCACCATTGTGGGCTCTGGGTATGCTGGAAGCATTGTGTGCGCGCCACATTCATATCTGATAATGTAAATCACCTGTCCTGCTTTTCGGAGCGCGTGTGTTCAGCGGCTGCCAAATGTCACTCCAGTGGCCGTCGCCGGGCTGGCTGTCGGGCATTCACTGGGTCAGAAGCAGCCGAATCGGACCACATTGCCGAAAAACGCGGACCGGCCCCGCCTGCGCCACATACCGCAGAGGCGCCGGCCGTGCAGTGCGGGCCGGGGCGTCCGCAGGTGGGTACGCCAGACCGGCAGGGCGGAGGGGGGGGGGGGGGGGGGTACAGCGATGCAGTCCTCGCAGAGGGCGTGTGCTCGGCCTCGGAGCGGGCGCTGGCGAGCCTGCCCCGATGTAATAGTCGTGGCGCTGCAGTTGTGGGGTGGTTGCTCGCGGCGTGGCGGAACGGCACGAGTCGCGGGTTCGACGACTGGGGTGTGGGAGCACGCCGGGTGGGTGGGAGCACGCCCGATGGGTGGGAGCACAGCGTGGATGGGAGCGCGCCGTCAGCCGCCTCGTCGCGAGGTCAAGTCCGGGGCCGGCAGGCGCCAAGCGAGGTCACTGACCCGCCAGCCGGACACTTTCCCTCCGTCGGACACTCTCGCCGCGCCATCCGCCGCTCCGGCGCTGCTTGCATGGCCGCGACGGGCCGGCTCAGCCGGTATCAGCCCCCGATCCGGGGGGAGGGGGGCGTGCAGGGCCCTGTGGCGTGAGGCGCTGCAGTGACACTGAGCCAGCCGTCACCGCGCTGCGGGGCCCCCGCCGCCCGGCTCGGCTCGACACCGGCCCGGGCGGCCGCAGCCGCACCACGTGACCGTTTCCGGCCGGCCGCCGTGGGCGGTGAATAGGCAGCAGCAGCGCGGGCTCCATGGCGGGCACTGGCGCCTGGCGTGACGGTCTTGGCCCGCTGAGCGAAAGAGAGAAGAGGCAGATGTCGAGTCGTTCGCCTCTGTCGCATATGCCTTTTTGCGTTTCAGTCGCTTTCATACCTGTTTTGCTTTCCAGATGTTCGACCGCCCGAGGCAGCTGGGCACGAGCAATCAATTATTCTGTGGGACTGGGAGGTTTCATCTACAATCATGTATAGTAATCGTCCATATAATTATCCATAATACTGTGCACCTCTTACGTTATTTTTCGTCCATATAGGAACATCAACTTCTCATTGGCTTTCCCAAAGTCGGGAGGCGGGGCTATTTTCCATTCGTAGCGGCTGTCCTGTTCCAGGACTACTGCGTTCTCCCTCTTGGCGCGAGAAGGATGACCTTAGAGTGACCTCATCGAGACACGCCGTCTGTATCCGCCTGCCTGACCCCGGCTTCCTGCCTTGTCCAACAGGTGACCGCCGCGCGCCCCATCGGAGAGAGTGGCCGCTGCGCAGCCGCACCGCGCCGCCGTGCCAGCACGCGCCGGCCGCGCCGCCGCCGTCCGTGACGTCACCGGTGACGTCACCGCGCCGGCAGGTGCGGCCGCGGCCGCGGCGGCCGGTGGGCGGCAGTGACTGCGACGTACCGAGCGGTGGAGGAGCGACAACAGCGGCGCGCGCAACCAGTGGTGCGGACTGCACGAAGCGCCGGCAGCGGCGACCGCACTGCCGCCGTTGGTGACGACAGGAGACCACCTGCAGGCGGTGACGGGGGAGGAGGACCGCGGAGGCAGGTCGGCCGGGATGGCGGCCAGCGCGCTCATGGCGCGCCTCACCCGGCGCTGGAGGAAGCGCAGCGTCGACATCACCGAGGAGGACCCCACGTTCAAGACGGTCTACCTCGGCAACACCGTCACGCAGTGGGCTAAGGGTGAGTGGCCGGGGAGCGGCGGCGGGCACGGCTCCGCGCGCCGCGCTCGTGCACGGGCTCGGCTTACACGGCGCTAGTGATCCGAGCACGAAAGTCTCGGGCAGCTGCCTGGTGATGTGTGCCCGGGGGCGTCGGCTAATCTCATCGAGGCTCCGTCCCGCGCGAGTTGATGGTTTCACAGTTTCGCAATCGGGTAACGGCACGGCCTTTCGACCATCTTTATGTGAGACGGCAGGTGGGCAGATTCAAGGGTTTTTTGGAAGCATGAGACCAATACGTCTCATGCAGACATGTGATGCCATCAAAGACCTCGCACTATTGCGAGTGACCTCGCTGGTTCCAGGAGGTGTTGATCGGTGTCGCGTTTCATGAATTTAAGGCCTTCATTGCCTGCAGAGTTTTATAACGTCGTCAGTCCAGCCCTGCCTGCTCCAGATCGGTACCATAAGAGGAAACCGGCATGGTTTGCTGACTCCGCTGCAGCCATGCGGGTTTTACTTGTGTTCAGATCAGCCCACGATCCGACGTTTTCTGGAAGAATCGAGGTCCGCGTGGTTTTGGTTCCAATGCCGCTCCCAATGACTGGTACTGATACCTCGCCGGCCGTTACGCCGAGGCACCGACGCCTCCATACCTGTTTGCGCTAAGCTCACCCTCCAGCGCGTATGTGGGTGTTTTTGGTTTTTTAGCGTCGAAAGGCTTGCATTGCGTCAGCATTAATTCATGCTGGTTTGCCGAATCGGGCAAGCTGAAAATCAGACGTGGCAGGCATAACGTGACGTGCTCGTCTCTGGAGTCACGGAGTCCATGAATGGAAAGAATCAAATGGAAACCGGCCGGTCCCTTACCCAGGCGGGAGCGTTGGCGATGGTCGGTTATTTTTCACAGTCTGGGACAAGTTTCCTCAGCATGTTTTTGTGAACGACTGGCAAAAACCTGCACGAGTGCCTAGTATATGCCATATCCGTCCATAGCCTGAGCGGCAGCCGCGCTGTTCGCCATCAGGCGGCGCGTCACGTGGATCGATGGTGTTTACCCGGTCCGGGCCCCGGCCACCGAGCTGGTTGTGTACCACCACCCTCGCATTCCAATAGGAGCGGGGCGCCAGCGGCGGTGGCCGGCGGGACGCGGCGCCAGCTGCGGACAGGTCCGGCCGTCGGGCCGACAGGTGCGCTCGAAGTCACCGGCGGGGCCGCCGCGCCGCTGGCGAGGCGGCGACCCGCCGCCGGAGCCGGACGCGACGGCTGGCGGTCGGCTGGGGGGGGGGGGGGGTGCGGGGGGGGGGAGGGGGAGGGGGAGGGGGAGGTGGTGTGATGCAGTCCGAGGACAATGCCTTCCGCGCGTTTTTGTTCGCGCGGCGCGCGGGCGTCGTCAGGTGGCATTCGTCGGCACGGTCGCAAGGGGCGGCGGTTGTGATGACGATCGAGAGGGAAGGGGCGCTGAGCGACCCGGCGCCCGCCGACCACCGGAGGGCGCGCGCGGTCCGTGGCGCCTGCGGGCCCGGGCTGCTTCGGCGCCCTTGGTCGCCCGCCCCCTCCACCGTGAAGGCGGAAGACAACTGTCGTTTCTGCGCTTGGTCAAGGGCGCCGAGAGACTGCGCCGACCGAGATAATACACGCGGTCTCCTGTCGCGATCACACAGGCCGCACGCGAGCGGTCGCGCCGGCCGGCTGGGCTCTTCTCGTCGCTTGTTCAGCGACGGCTAATCTCCAGGAAGAAACTGGGCTTGTTCGCAAACCTCAGCTATTGTGGCGAGCGGGAGGCTTCCGCGAGTGCCCGCTCGGTCTGGACATCCCGCCACCAGCGAGGTCGCGCACTCGCTGCCTGCCCGGACTCGCCACTCGGTCCCCACCGGGCCGTCCGCCCAGCGCACCGGGAAGCGAGCCGTCCCAGTGTAAGCGGTGTCCAAGGTGCGCGAAGGTCTCCACTTGCGGAAGCGGGCCGCGCCTCTTCCGATCCCGCCGGCTTATTTCCTCGGCGATCTCAAAGCGAAGGGGCGGTCATACCTCGCCGAGAAACTCATGGACACAGCCACGGGCGAATAATGACCTGGAACGAGTTGGTGAGTCAGAGTTGTCGAAGCAATCATCTTTCAGAGACAACATGTCAAAGTGGGACTCATAAACATTGCATCAACATTCATATAATATATATATTCATAAATATTACATAAACATTCTCAGAAACATTGGCGTGACCGTTCCCGCGCCCGATGTGCTGTATTCTCCACTCGCGAGTACGCTCGCGTCGCCATCACCTGAGAACGCTCTCCGCCACCCCAGCGGCACCACCCGCGGTGCTCGCACGCGTGGCCGCGTGACGCGTGTGTGTGACCCGGGCCCAGTCACGCGTCACGCGCCACGCGCGTTTCCAAACGGCCAGTGACGCGGCGTGCCAGCCCGTGGCGCGGCCGGCGAGCGGCGTTGCACGGCGTCTTGCCTCACGCCACGGCACCGCGGTGTGGAAACAGCTGATTGTTGCCCGGCCTGCGAGCCGGGTGCGCCGGCGTGAGCTGCTGACGGCGCGGGCCGAACAGCTGCCGCGTCCGCCATCCGGGACTGCAGGCCGGCCGGGGAAAGCAGCGGGAGTCGTTCCCGGGCCGGCCGAAATCGGACACCAGGTGCGATAGGCCAGCTGATATGTGCAACCGTGCATTCACTGCCATGGGGAACGAAAGAGCTGTCCTGCATGGCGGAACACCGGGCCTATGTGGTGCAATGTTTATCTAAGCCGGATGTGACTCAGCTGTGCACAGGTGGCTGTCGGGTTTTACTGTCGGAGTTCGTGTCGGCGACTGCTGGCACAGTTTACATGGGTCGTCTCCCGCGCAGGAAGTGTCTCAAGCAATGCAATCAGGGGAGGATGCCGGGCAAATATTGCTGCCGACGGCTGTCGGTAACTCAGTCCAGTGGTTTGAAATGGATTGGACTCACGAGAAATTGGATTTGATTTCTCTCTGAACGAACAGACCAATTTTGTCGCTGCATTCGATGTAGCGAGGGATGCTGTTCAGGCCAGAACGACATTTTGCACGAAGTTCTTTTTCATTTCTAAAAAGAGTAAATGTGGCTTGACCTGGCCCAGGTGGGCGGAACGTAATGATATCAGGACGCAGCGCCCGATACCTGCCATGGAATTCTAAATTGATGTCTTTCGATAATGCTACCCCTAGAAAAAACACCTTATTTTCTTGACGCTATACTCAGCTCTCCAGAGCCGTTCCGCTGCTGGTGACGTACCCCATCATTCCCTGTGAACCGGACCTACAACGCCGAACAGTGTTGAACTCAGCTCGTTGTTTGCACGGGCCATTTCCACGGCGCTGCACACTTCCCGTTCCGCCGTTTACTTTCCTGGTCTTTACCCGCCTGCCACGGCTTCGCGGCGAGCGTAGGGACCCCCGCCACGGCAAACAGCGACGACAAACACGACGTCCCACGCTTGTGGCCGTTCCTCAGGAGGAAAAGACGGGACCCCTCGCTCTATTGTGCTGCTCCAGGAAAAGGCCGCGAGGACGCGCCGTGTGAGCGCCGCCTGCCGTGAGGGAATCCGAGTTCCGGGGGGCGCACCGCGGGCCGTCGCGTTACACGTGACGCTCGCTGTGCGAGTGCTCGGTAACCTATGGCGCGGTGTATGTTTACCTAGGCTGCAGCAATTGTTCACGGTTGGATAATATGACCGATTTACCAGTTCCTTGCGTGTTAGGCGCTGGTGCTGCCCTACGTGCTGGTATTGCGATGAACCTTGCCTTGATGTGAGGGGTATGGTGCATAGCAGCTATGCATTACGAAGGGCACTAAACACTGTCCTGATGCTGGGAGGGGCTTGGCGCATGGCAACCACGTGCGCTTGCAGAGAGCTGAGCCGTCCTCACGGCGCCATGACCTTACTTTATACCGGCCGCCACCGCTGGCGCGCTCCAGCCTGCAGTACGTGCCCGGTCAGCTGAAATGCCTCATGGGAGCGCTATAGTCATAAAACTGTCTGCGCTGCACGGCCCGCGATGGCCAGCTCCACCGCATGCCGCGTCTGATGGGGGCGCTGTCGTTGTGGCCGTGCTGCCCCCCCCCCCCTCCCCTCCTCTGCCCAGCTGCTATCGTGGTCGTGTTGCCCCGCCTGACGTGGCGCGCTGTTGCAGGCAGCGGCAGCGTCGACAAGCCGCTGGCCACGCTCTGGAGGAACTACTGCCAGTCGACCAAGCCCGACATCGAGATGCGCGTGACGATCGCCGTCTCTGGCCTGAAGGCGACCACGCGCGAGCACGGCCTGACCGAGTACTGGAGCCACCGCATCACCAACGCCTACGCCCACCCCAGCTACCCCAAGGTGAGCGGACGGCGGACGGCGGACGGCGGACGGCGGATGGTGGACGGCGGCGTCTGGCGCCCAGGGGATGGGTGTGAAACGGCTGGATGTGAGATGTCGTGTGACTGTGGCTGTCTGTGAACGGGCAGCACGGAGGTCAATGCAGTGCTGGAATAAGCGAGATTGTGTTGTGCGCTTCGTGAGTGTACGTCATCAGTGGTGCGAGAACGGGCTCGAGCCTGGTTTTTGAGAAGCAGGGTGTCGACTCCTTTGAGCTTCCTTTGGATTCGTGCCGGGAACACTTATCGACTCTGGTCGCGCGTGACGGCAGACTCTGGCGTCGCGTCTCCCTCCCAGGCAGCCGGCACCGGCCAGGAGCGCTGTTTTTGCGGCCTGTCCTTGGCTGCTGGAGGCGGCCTGGAGGCGCCACCCGGATATTTCCATCACTGAAGCGATGCCTCAACCGCCGTCCACGGCGACCTGTCCGTTGGCGGGCGATGTGATGTCAAGCTGGAACTTACCAGCGTCTTCCCTTCCTTGTCAGCGGTGCTGTCGGCAGGACTTCCCCAGGTGCCCCTGTACCGGCTGCCCTCGTGCTGAAGCGATCCCAGGACACTCATGCACCCGTCCCCAGTATCCTTCCCTGCCCAGCGGACCAGCGAGTGGGGGGGGAGGGGGTCTCATGGGCCAGCCTTGCGCTGCGCCGGAGCCGTTGCAGCGCTCTGCACTCGGCGCTGTGTGCCTTTTGATAATGGCGCCCGTAATAAGGTAGGCGGGCGGGGCTGACCTTTGTTTTATCTTAACGGCGCCCGTTAAAATAGCAATCGCCGCCGCCAGCTTGCCGTGGAAAAAAAATGTGCGGGGTTACGTACCCATGGCGTCGGCGGTAGGGGAAGGCGGGGGGTCGGCTACCTGTCCGGTGCCTGCTGAACCCTCAGCAAATCCAGGGGGCGGTGACCGCTGGAGGTGGAGCCGTCGGCAGACCTGACGGTCGTGCTCCGCACTGTGACGGCGGTCGTGCCTCCGCTTCCAGCGGCGTTCCCGGCGCGGGGAGGGGGCACTCACTTTCGTGCGGCGCGCTCACCGAGCTGGCTCGGGTGACAGGCACTCTTACCCTGTTTAACTACCTCGGTTCGGCTACTTTTCGTTGTGGAGTTGGTCGTGGAGCAGAAAGATTGCATCACGTCAGCCGGCAGGTCATGTCTATCGTGTCTCGTCACAGCCACAGCATATCGCGCAAGTAATGCTGAGTCGGATTAAAAGCCGCTTTAAAGCATCGCCACCTTAATAAATCGGGTTACCATGCTTTCCGCCTCGAGGAAAGTCGCGGTTCGCTTCGCCGGCCGTGGCGAGGTTTCGCCCATCAGCCGTCGACACGGGTTGGCTGGCCGCCTCCGCGCGTGTCGTCATCGTCAAACGCGGCAGCCGGGGGCGGGCCGGGTCGGCGCGGCCTGTCGGCGCCGCTCCCACCGGACCGGACCGGACCGGACCGGACCAGCTGCTGCCGGGCTAGCGCTCGCCGCGGCCGGCCGGTGGGCCAGCCCCGCGCCGCTGAGCGGCTTCACCCGGTAATTGGACGAGGATCACGTGACGCCCTGCCGTGCCGTGCCGTGCCGGCCGGGGCGGGCTACAACTGGACGGTGCGCTGCCGTGGCCCGTGCGTGGTGTCGCAGCGTCTCCGCAGCGAGCGTAATGCGCACATCCTGCGCCACGCAATTAACCGCGGTGGTCCAAAAAAAGGTCGCAAAAAGGTGGCTGCGCAGTTGGCGACAAATTTTCCTCCATCCCGTGGTGGAGCTGGGATAACATGGCAAGAATCTTGAGGCAGCATCCGCACTGGCTGTGCTGAAAACAGTCTGATGGTTGCATTTTGGCGGCGGGCCCAGCCTCTGATAACCTGGGAATGTTAGCCAGCACCAAATAAATTCCGGTGTGCTGGCGTGTTGCGCCCTGCTTGGAGCCGCGCGCGGTGGCTCCTGGGCCGTTGGACCCTTCGCCGTGCCTACACCTCAGCATCAAATAATTACCTGCGCCCTGGGGCCGGACGACTGTGGCCGGCTGGTCGAGCGATCAGCTCCAGCGTTGCGCGCCTGCGGGATCGCTGTATGATACATATCGCCGGTTGCAAACAACGCCTTGGGGCGGCGACGCGGGAGTGAGTCTGTTCTTGCGGAGCGGCCCGCAACGCCGCCCAGGCCACCGGAATAGAGCTCCGCCCTCGGGTTTCCACGCCCACATTCGGTTCGTCGGCACCACTGAAATGAAAATGGTGAGCGTGGCGACAAAATGCAGCGTTTTCCCTTTCTCAAGGTTTTAAGGCTTGGCTGTGGGAAATAAATGACCAGTTAAGCACATTACGCGACAGGCGTTGACTCACTAGTGCTTTTCCAGCCTTCACCGCGTGTTTTCAATTGATTGTCGGAGTGTGCGCGCGCGACAAACAAACCGTGAAATGAACGCTTGTCAGGCTGGTGCCTGGAAACGAATTGCCACAAATTGCCATCGGAGAGAAAGATGAACTGAGCCCTTGGGTCTTCTCCGTATTTGACCCTGAACGGTTCTTAGTCATTGAGCTGCGAACACCGTAATGATACAGCGCGGCGCACAAGGTCAACAATCATCGCAAGCGCATCCTGATGTGTCGGGATGCGCTAGGGGTCAACCATTGCGACCATCATTTGCACGAAGTCCACCGACCAACACCACCCAGAATCGTCGGAATCGATGCGTAATCCAGCGCCGACCCTGTAGAAATGTCGTGTTATGAGCACGAGCGCAATCTATGCCATCTTTGGGGCAATCGTCGCTTCCGCTGGTAGTGAGCAGCTTTTCGCGGAGCCAGTGGTTAGCATTACACAACAAGAAGTTGACGTAAGTCGGAGCAGCTGCTTTGCACTAGCACTCGAACAGCTGTGCGCAGCGCACAATCCCAGACACAATGGCGCTCTGCTGCAGTCGTCGGGCTGTATAAACCCCGTTCTTGTGTTTGGAGCCGGCTTCGGGGTTGCGGAGGGCGGTGCGCCCCATCGCACCACGTAGCAGACCGGTCCAGTCCGGGTCGAACCGGACCAGACCGGTTCGGAGGGGCAGTGGACCGCGTGCGTCCCGCGCCCCACGCGCCGCCCGGCCGTCCATATGGCGTGAGCGGCGCCTAACGGCATGCGAACGCGCCATGAGCCGGCCTCGCGATGTCATCTCATTGTCCGGGAGCAGCCGCCGTGAACGGCTATCGGCGACATTTGGCTGCCGGCGCCGGCGCCGGCTGGCCCGGGCACGCTGGCGAAGCGGCCCGGCCGCCCGCGACCAGGCGGGGTCGGCGCGAGACACTCCCGGGCGGTGTGCCGGGGCTGGAGCACGGGCTCACCCCCCGGCTCTGCAGCGGCTGCTCGTGATGTACGCCGGCGCGGGCGGCGGGCACCTCCGTGCGGGTGAGTCCCGAGGAAGTAGGTCAGCGAGCGTGGGGTCCAGCTGGCGCCGCGAGGACGACTTAGGGGCGCCGTGAGCGATGCAAATGAGCCCCGCCGACCGACCACGCACTGCGCAGGGTGATGTCCGGGATAGGGGCGGTGAGGCCCCTACTGACGGCTGACCGGGGCGGCTTCCACCACATCGCCGGCTCTTGACGCTGCAGGCGCCTCTGCCGCGGCCGGTTTGGGTGCGGCCTGGCCCGGTCCGGCCTGCGGCGGTCCGGCTGTGTGCTGTGCGGTCTCGGACGCACGCACTCTGTGTGCGCAAATGGCGCGTCCAAGGTCGCACTCACGCGGCGTCCAAGACGCGTGGCCTCGCCCGCCAGACAACGTTTGCGGACAGCTCGATATTGATGCGGCGCCGGTTCCCTCATTGGCTCGTTATGCATTGGCATCCGCCTGAATAAACAGTTTATTTCGGGCGGAATTGTGCGACGTCCGCACGAGGTTGTTTGCAAGTGAGAGCCCTATTGGCGCCCGTTGCACGTCTACTGTGCGCCACATTCCCTGCATGTCTGTACTGAGTTATGCGCGTCCATGCTGGAGCGCCGGCGCCGTCGCCAGGCTCTATCTCAACGGGCCGTGCCGTCTGAACTGTGCCCCGGTCCGACCCTCCCACCCAATGTTCCCATGAGCGTCCGCGTACTTTGCCTTGGCGTCCGTGTCCCGTCTGCGTGCAGTTCCCCATGGGTTGGCCCTGTCTCGATGGTGCAGTCGTCCTCCTCTCACGACACCCTGTCCTCGCAGTGTTTACTCCGCCGTCCTCCTCCGACCTGCTCCGCGCCCCAGCCGGATCTCTGACGCTCCCTGTCCGTTCGCAGATGTTCTGCTGGGTGTACCGACACGAGGGGCGCAAGATGAAGCCGGAGCTGCGCTGCCACGCCGTGCTGTGCTCGTCCGAGGCCAAGGCGCGCCTCATGGAGCGCCACCTGACCGAGCGGCTGCACCAGGCGCTCGTCGAGTTCCGCAAGGAAAAGCAGCTGCGCCAGAACGCGCGCCTCTCCGTGGTCAGCGTGCTGTACCCGAGCACGCCGCGGCGCAAGGTGGTGCTCACGAGCGGAGGCGTCAACTACCGGCCGCCGCTCGAGCGCAGCAAGAGCGCGCCCAAGCTGAGCAGCATCGAGGAGGACCGTGAGGGCGAGGAGATCGCCGCTCGCGACGACGCGCGCCGCCTGGCGGCGGCGGCGGCCGAGCGCGCGCCGCCGGCGGCGCCGCCGCGGCCCCGCGCGCTCAGCGAGCCGATCGTGCCGCCGCCGGTGGTGAGCTGCGACCCGCACGCGGGCGCCGCCTCCGCCTCCAGCGACGACTCCGAGAGCGACTCGGACACGGCCAGCGAGCGCAGCGCGACGAGCGTACCCAGCGATCCGACGGCCGACAGCGACTGCGAGACGACGCTGCTGGAGACGGCCGGCCCGTGTCGCGTGTACCACTTGAGCGCCCGCTCGCCGACCGGCCGCCGGCTGGCCGATGACGTGCGGCTGGAGGTGCGCCGGCGCGTGGCTGAGCTCGAGCTGGGGCAGGCCTGGTCGCAGCCGCCAGACGACAGCGACGACAGCGCCAGCGACGAAAGCGGCTACGCCGAAGAGGTCGGTCGCGTCGCCTGAGGCGGCGCGCCGTCCGCGTGAGTCTAGTCAGCGCCCCGCGCCGGGGCGCCACCCGCCGCTGAGGAAGTTTGCGTGCCAAATCTCCGCTCAGAACCGTCTGTCTGTCCCTGTGACGTGACGAGACGCGATGTGACGTCTGTGACGTCACGAGACGCGATGTGACGCGGCTGGCCGGCGGCTGCGTCGCATCGGCGTCTGGTTCGTCTCGGCGCTGGCCGAGGTGCACCACGACGTCCGCGTCCTTGTCTGTGTTGTAGCCGTGCTGGAGACGGCTGCCTGCCTTTGCCGCCAGCCAGCTCTTCGTCCCTGTTCCGTATGAACGCGCTGGCGCGCTTGTACTGGTCGTGCAGGAGCCCGCGCAGCTTGTTTGGGGCGTGTTTCTGTGCCCGCGTACAGCTGTCGCCGCTGTTGGATTTTGAGGCGTTTGTATGGGAGCCCGCGCTCACTCGACCAGTGTGGAGCACCTGGTCTGGTACCGACTGGAAACTCTCCTGAACGAAGGAGCCTGTTGCCGAACTTTGTCTTGTTGCCAGGATTGTGTTAATCGGCAGATATTATTGAGGGTATGCAACTGTCCACGAGAATGTGATACATGCAACTAATATAGAAGTACAAGAGATAACAGTGTGCAGTATCCTTAGCGAAATAAAGGAGAGACACTACTTACCGAGCTTTCAATGGTTCGCGGAATCATGGTTGCACAATCATCTCAGTAAGCCGGCGCCAGTTCCGAAGCGCGCTTCTCGCTGCGTATAAAGGCTTGATACGCGAGCAGAGTCGTATGCTGCAATCCATCACTGTTCCTAACAGACGTGAGTGAAAGGGGCTTGGTATAGTTCACCTTTGCACTCTAGCCTGCTACAAGGACCACCGCGGGGAGGGCCTTGGTCCGGCGCGCTGGCCAATCGCAAGCACCTGAATCCATTTCTCCCAGCCTAGTCTCAAGCTTAGCTGACATTTTGCGCCGCGGGGCGGGACAGCACGGACACCAGGGACCCCCCCCCCCTCATCTCTCAGCCAGTGCCGCTAACGGCAAACCGGTGGGTGTCACCTTCCGGCGGCGGTCTGCGCCTCAGCACCTGACGCGCTGAGCCTCTGCCCTTGCTGCGGAGCTGCGGACCTGGTCGAGGCACTTCCGCCGCCGGCTCCGGCTTCGGGCTGGCCGTGTCCGGGGCGTGGAAGCCGGCTATGGCTTCCGACAGACGCCAAGGCTGCGCGCCGCGGCCGTTTCTAGGTCACGACCGGCGGCCGGGCGCCCCGCCGAACGCGGCACAGTCGCGCCTGGCAGTTGCACCGATTCGCATTAGCGTCGTCTCGCCTTGCACGCAAGCGCGACGGTGAATTTACTTCCGGCGACGAAAGCGTGACGCCCTGGGCCTGTCGCTGGCAGTTGGACGGTCGCTGCTGTGGCCGGATCTGGCGTGGCCGCCAAAAGTGCTCGGCGTAGGTGACGAAAGAAGTGCATAGTTTTCAGACGACTGCCCATCGAAACCACGGCCGCCTCGCTCGCGCACCTAGCGCCGGAGAACAACCGCTGCCGTTCAGATCAGATGCGGATGGATGGCTTATTCATGATCTCTCCACCGCCACGAAACCATTGCCGCGAAACGACCACGTGGTCAATAATACCCCGCGACACGCGCTCGCCAACAATAACCCGAGCGCGCCATGACGAGCGTGTCTTATGACGGCCCGTCCGAGCCGCGGAGCACCGGAGCTCATCAGAAGTTCGTCACGCCAATCCCCTGTCGGCGCGTCCGGTGAGTACTGCGAAGGTCCCGGCTGGAACGGCCAGTAGCTGCGCACCTTGACGACCGGGAGGGCGC